TCTAATGAAAATGTTTGTTTATAATGTTAGGACATTTTCTCATTTAAAATAAAAGATAGCATTTTATTTCACAAGCTGTTTCTTTGCCTGGTCGTGTTTATGACTTCTCTTAATTCTGTAAAGCTGACTTTTTGCTGATAGAGATCTTCAGTCATGTACAGCATTCATCAAATTACTACCAAAGCCAGGTACATCTTGTTCAAGTAAAGAGAATAATAGCATTACAAGTCATTCACCCGTAGATTCCTTTTCTTCTCTCCTGATGTAACAACTATGAGACAGATAATGACCAGGCTATCAGAGAGGCAAATTTAAAGCTCATCTTTGCTACACGTAGGTCTGGCAGGTTATGACAGACACAAAGCATGTACGGGTAAAGCTCTTTTGAATATTGAGCTAATCTTTTAGCATGGGGGAGTAAAAGATTCAAGTGCCATGCTTTCTGATTAAGCATCAAAAGTAGCAGGGGACAACAAAAGCATTCTACATGGATACAAGTTTTAGGACATATGAGGTGGCTATCTTTCTCTAGCATCAGTTTGTAATTAATATGTGACCCCCCCAAACAATGTCTAGTTTTCATGCATTCACTTCATCATTAAGACGCTAGTGTATATTGTGTTGTGTGACTCCAACATGATGTCTTGCTCTAAGCTGATAGTTTAACGGTCCAATCTTAAGCAAAGAGTGTCAGCAGAACATTGTTCTCCATCATTAACAGATTAACTGCCAATAGCAGTAATATTTAGTAAATTCATATCAGCTATTTTCTTAATTAAGAAAATAAATTGCATTCAACTTTTACCTTTCTTTGCTTTCTTTGAAGTTTCAGGGTGTCTGAGGACTTCTTCTTTATTTCCTGTCGGGCTCTTTTATACTCTGGTTCAGGAGGACAAGGTGAAAAGTGTATTATTAGTGAAAACTTAGTATAAACGTGCAGTTTTTCATACACTTGGTATTATTCTGTGGGACAAAAGGAAAGTATGACACCCTTCAAGGGGAAATGTGCTGATTTTCCACCAGCTACGTGTATATTGATATCATATGTTAATGAACAATGTTTTACTCCCCTCAGTGTTAACTGCAAAGAAAGCTCCCATGTACCAGCAAAACTTCACCTGGCAGAGTTTTCATATGCCTTTTTGTACTACAACCTGTACTGTTTTTTGCGGAGAGATGCCTCTAAGAGAGGCTTATTGTCTTATCCACAGTCTTATTGTGGATATGGAGGAAACGATCTTACTACTGTAAAGTTGGAGTCAGACATTTGGGGCTACTTATGCACACAGCAGAATACAGTGTGGTGGAATGACTGTGTGTAGAGGAGCTAGATGCTGTGGAGGGTGAAGCAACCCCAGCAGGTAAGGAGAGAAAGAAATAGCCAGCTTGAGCCGGGACAGCTGGTGGTGCTGTAGAAACTGTGTACTGATGAAAATCTTTATACTGCAGTGCATTTCACCTTGCAATTTAAAAAAACATACGTTGTCTACGCACTATTTTGTTCTCTGAGAGGTCAGCAAGCGGAAACTTTTGTACTTTCATTTACCCACCCACCAGAAGCACCTTTAAAGCCTATCCATTTGGGAAGGGCCTGGGAGTGGCATTGGAAGGCAACGAGCCCTGTGCATTCTGGGTGTTGAAGAATTTGAACCCTTTGGGCAGAAGGGTATGACAAAGCCCCTTTTTTTTGAATTTATCTTGCTTTGAAGCACTGATTTCATCCCCCCCCCCCACATTTTTACTGCACCAGACAGTTTAGTTTTATCACAAGTCTATCTTCCCAGAAGAAAATATCCCATTCCTAACCTCTTCTTGCGGTCATAATTCGATAATAACTAGTAAGCTGCTGAAATAACATTCTTACTGAAAACGTGTTCCTTGCATTGCTTTAAGTTGTTTAAGATGTTGTCTGATATATGAAAGTTAATTTGTGTATCCTACCTTTAGCATGGTCCTTGTCCAAAGTGTTGACTCCTCTCTTCCAATCCTCCACCTGTTCTTGTAGAGGATTGATCAGACCCTCAAGGAAGACCCTGTGATTAACAGCAGAATATTGTTATTTAATCTGAGGTCAGTTTGATTCTGTAAACCAATTATATGCACAGTAAAAAAAAAAATTATATGTACAGTAAAAAAAAAAAAATTATATGTACAGTAAAAAAAAAATATGGTCGCAGGTTTCGAATCCTGGTCCTGTCGGCATTTGTTACATTTCATCCCCCATTCTCTCTCCCCACATTCTCTGTCACTCTATATCTGTCCAATCCATTAAAGGCAAAAAGTCCAAAAAATATCTTAAAAACAAAATGAAAAACTCATTGAGTGATACATGGATAAACTATCTTATTTTAAATAAACAAATAACAATACTACACATGAAGCATATATGTTTACCATCCAGAAACTTCCTTTCCTTTTATGCTTCATGTTTTACAGGCATGCTGAGCACGGTTTGTCAGTCTGTCACCTGTTTATAAACTAGCAGACAAACCATCAGACATAAAAATCATTAAGTCTGGAATTTCTGTCTAACACTGTATGGCCTTTTTTGTCAATCATTAACAAGGTGAGAGAAAGCAAAAAACCAATGAGTGTCACAGTAAGAAACTGGTGCAGTCTTGTCTGTCAATCATTACCTAACACTGCCCGTCTTGTATTTGTGAGTGTTAAAGAGGCTGGGTATGAGAAGTAGGGAGCTGAAGGCTTAATGCACACAACTAAAATTAGACCTCTCCCTCTTGCAGACATTTCTCAAGTGTGTGTGTCAGTGGGTGGGTGGTGACCACAGCCCCCCTGTGTCCAGCCTTTGCTATGGAGATCCAAGTGGAATCTGTACTGAAATGCCACCCAAAATTAGAGCGCCCCTTGTCTACATAATGTGTGTATGTGTGTGTGTGTGTGTGATGGAAAGAGAGAGGAAGAGCTGTGGTGTGTGGACTACACTGAAACATTACTGATGTTTGTGTTGCCAGACAAATCGTCTCTTTCCCAGCATTTCACAACAAGTGGCATTCTCACCCACACACACTGAATGTCAAGAAAAGGTAAAATAAAACTTTATTTATATACACTATTCAATGGTGAAAGTATGCTAACTGTGACCTACTAATATGGAGAACACTGTAATAAGAAATTTACTCTAACCATACTAGAAAGTTACCTTTGAACATTTATCATTATAGTGCTGATATTTTTGTCGGAAGTGAAAAAAAAAAAAAAAAAGCTAAACGTTTATCACTTGAAATTACCAAACTGTAAATGTGTGAGGAGGGGACGTTTTTTTAAACACATAAACTCCTGATTAACTGTCCTTATTTAGCTCAGCCAAACCACTTTGATTAAATTTATAGGGAAAGAAAACCCTGCTCTTACCCAACCCCATTTACATCCCCGCCAAGCATTCAGCAAAATTGCATGAGGGATATATCATATCAGATCCTGTATGTTTATAAATGTCGACAGTCTGTAAAGCAGGAAAGTAGAGAGAAGGTCAAATGTGTAATGTTGCTTACATGGAGAACTGTTTGAGTTTAGCCTCTATGCTGCGATGTCTCATACACATTCTGGTCAACGCTGATCCAATGTCCCTGGTCCCACCTGAAAGACAAAAGGTTTGAAATAAAATTACAACATGTGCTTTTATTGTGATCATTAATGATAGCATGCACTAATGTTCATATTCAACCAAACCTCAAATATGAATCACTGAAACGTATTGGTAATAGGGTAGGGTCAAGCAGCAGGCTTTGGAAAAAGGTGTAGTTGTAACACTCACTGACCCCACTGTCCCTTCATTGTGGATGAGAACTGTGAGAATCAGTGGGAAACACTGACATACGAATTGCACATATATTCAGGTCAAGAGAAGTGATGGGGAGTTGAAGCTGGAGTCAAGTAATTGTGCTTGAGGCTAAATGTGGGTTTCCTTCACAGGCTAACTATCTGTCCACCAAAGGCCTCAGGCTGACAGCTAAGCAGGGAACTGACAGTGATTGACAGAACTATTGTCTGGATGCTCAGTAGGACTAGTTGGTTTCTCCGTGGGGTTTAGGCACTACAGTGTGAGTGTGTGTGAAAGTTCTTTAGAGAGAAAAAGGAAAGGTGGGGGCACAGAGATCGTGTATGAAACTTATGACATTCTGTTCATTGCATCACTCACAGAGGGAGACTCACTCTGTGTATGTGTCTGTGTGTGTGTGTATGTGTGTGTGTGTCTGTGTGTGTGATGATCTGATTTGAAGTGTGAATCCCTTCCAACAGAGCAAGCCATTCTGTAGTCATCACAGTCCTTGATGCATGCAGAGACACACAAACAGAACTGTCACTCACTCACACCCACTCACAATCAGATTTACACACACACACACACACACACACACACACACACACACACACACACACACACACACACACACACACACACACACACACACACACACACACACACACACACACACACACACACACACACACACACACACACACACACACACACACACACACACCTTACATAACACAAGAGGAATTAATACATTAAAACATTTTAATTGAAATTGAATTGGTTTTGCAATATTCTCAGTGAAATATGCAGATAAAAAGATTGTGATCAATTTTTTTTTTTTTTACATAGATTAGAATATTTGGTACCAGTGTTGCAAAACATGCAAAGTAGATACTTTTATTGTTTAATTTCCTTTGCTTCTGTCTCTTTCACTGAGCTGTTTAAATGCCACACTGACCTAAAACGCTTGACTTCGATTATGAACAGACAGTTTGTATAAGAACTGGTTTTTGAGACAATCAGCATCTATCCAGCTCTTCTTTAATACTTGAAAAAGTTTCTGGTGCTCTTCACTGCTCAGTGAGCAGTGGAAAAATCAGAATAACTGTAACAGTGAAATAGAGGGATGCAGTAAACTAAGATATTCTAGATGAAAACTACCATTCAGTGATACAGAATTGAATGTCAGTCTCAGTGAGGCCATAATGACTTCTAAATTCTCCCTCTATCCATTCATCTATCCTTTCCTGTTTTACTGTGTGAGCTTGTAATGGCAGAGGGTGTGACTACAACATGCTGTAAAATAAACACCATAATGTTCATTCATTCTTGTGTTGACTTGTTGTCATCCAATCCATCCATTCGTCTGCTTTACTCTCCCTTACTATGATTGCTTGTTGTTGTAGAGGGTGTGGCTGATGGATGCCTCAGTGCCACAGCGAGGCCAGAAGAAAAAAACCCTGATCAAGCTAGCTAAGTCTTGCAACTACCGGTAATAGTGTTTACATCATAACAACATATAATTTTAAAAATGTGTTTCATTCCAATAATTCAAAAATACTACGTACTCAATGTGCACAGCTGGTTGGGAATCAATATGGCTGGAGCCAATGCTGCAAATTTCTCTGGAATATCACTCACTATAAACTCACATATTATAGTACATGGAATACGAAGAAGTGTTAAAAGTAAGCATGCCAGCCCAAGGATATCAGGCCAACCTGCTTTTTTTGGAAAGACTAATTTTGTTGCTCTCAGGATAAAGGGGCTGCTAACACATATCATCGACCCTGTCTGGCAGCAAGTGACCCCGTGATAGAAGTAGCTACTTTGGCTCTCCAGTTGTCTACCACACACACACACACACGCACACGCAAGCAAGCAAGCATGCAAGCAAGCTTCAATTGCCTCACTGAACTGCTCTTGTGTGTGTGAGAGAGTGTGCTTGCATGTGTGTGTTTTTGTGTGTGTGCGCGAGTGCGTGTGTGTGCTTGCATGTGTGTGTGTGCATGTGGGGTGTTTCTGTGCAAAGTGGCATAGCTGGCTGTCAGTCGATAGCTTCTAGAGAATTGTAATTATCTATGCACCAACAACACTCTTCAAACAGATGAGCAAGTAGCACTGGCAAAAAAAAAGGTACAGGACTTAAAGCAACACCATGTCCTACAGCATGAATGACAAGGTAACTTAATTCATTTACGGCCTTGGCTTTATCTGACTTACGATACTTTGATGTTTTTAAATTGTTTAACCTGTCTTAATAATCTAAGTGATAGATTATTTTATATACAAAAAATTATTCCTAGATACATGTGTTCCAGTTTGAAACGCTATAAAGCAGCTACTTCTTACATTACTATAAAAATAGCTTTGTTTTCATTTGGAACCAGTGTATTCCACAGTCTAAAAGGATATTTGTGACAGAGCAGAGGTGATGGTTTCCACAGTCTTTGTGTGTTAGTGTGTGTGTGTGTGTGTGTGTTGTGTGTGTGTGTGTGTGTGTGTGTGTGTGTGTGTGTGTGTGTGTGTGTGTGTGTGTGTGTGTGTGCACTGGACTGAGAGAGCTAGTATGGCAATTTGAAGTCAAGCTGCCAAGTCTGGTGTGTCATCAACCCCCTCCAGATTGTTCCTTGGAATGTCACACTGTGCTGACAAAGAAGTGTGTCTGTCTCTGTGTGAAAGCACTCTGTAAGAGAGTATTAGAAAGAAAGCATTTTGAAAGCCCATAGATTATATAGGGATGTATTAATGTATTGATACAGCTTTAAAAGGCACTCAATTTAAGTGGTTTCAATATTAGCTTTTAAAATGATATGCAGCCTCTATACATAACAGTGCATTGCCAAAGAAGTCTGTGGGTGACAGGCGGCTCTATAGTTCTCACCAAACTCGCATTAAAGTCTCATGTATTATGAGGTTGAAGAAAAATGTCCCCAAAGGCAGAGGGCAATGCAACTTCACTTAAAGGGTAAAGTAGCTTCCCAAAGCTAACTGATTTTGTGTCATGTTGCTTGAGAATATATTACCAAAAGTTCCCGGTCTGTGTTGGTGTAAATGAAAAGGTGGATTATGATATTTCTATGGTGATTTGATAATTCAAATCACCATATAATATGGTGAGTCTCTACTTCTTCTGTGATGATCAATGTGGACCAAACTATCCAGACTAAAAGGTTCAAATGCACAAATTGATTTTATAGGAAGAAAAAAAGGGTCCATGGTATATTTCTGGTAAACCCACTTAAGAGCATGAGGAAAAAAACAAAGCCAGGCCGTTTTCATAACACAGATCTCAGCTTGTCATTAGGGGATGGAGGGAAAGCTGATATGAAGTGAGAGAGAAGGAGGATTAATCCAAAAACGAAAAAAGGGGAGACGGAGAAGTGGAGAGAAAGAGAGAGTTATTGGGCTGCAGAGTTTTTTCACATGAAAACCGAAGAGGCCTGCTAGCTAAAAGCAACTCAGTATGGACACCAGATGGTTGCTATTAAATATAGGCCAGTGGTTACACTGATAAGAGACTTGAAACCACACACACACACACACACACACACACACACACACACACACACACACACACACACACACACACACACACACACACACACACACACACACACACACACACACACACACACACACACACACACACACACACACACACACACACACACACACACACACACACACACACACACACACACACACACACACACACACACACACACAACCAGCTGGACAGAGGTAAGGGAGGTGTTCACTGGCTAATTAGAGAGCTTGGGTAAAACACCAAGGCTGCATCCACACTAAACTGGCTAAAATTACTCTTCTTCATGTTGGGCTTGAAACGAACAAAGCTGTATCTCTTCAAACCAAAAAATGATCTTCAATATGTTGGTTGAACTTGCTTTACTCTGTGCCATGAAGCAATAACCTTCAAAAAACTCATTGCTGCCTGTGACTAATAAAGGCAATAATACCACAAAGATGTACTGGTATTTATGTTTACGTCTCAGCCTTTGTTTTTAGAAGAAGGTATGATGATGTACTTAAAAAGGAAGAACCATTAAAGCTGTTAGGGTCGTCGCCTCTCAACCGGAAGGTCGAGGGATTGATCCCCAGCTGAGCAACATGCCTGATGTGTCCTTGGGCAAGACAAATAACCTTGCATTGCTCCCGCTGCTTCGGTGGTGGTGTATGAATGGATTAGTGTTGTCCTACTCTCTAATGTACATAGCTTTAGATTAAGTCGTCTGCTCATTGAAGTGTAGAATTACTATGTTTTTTAATTTGAATGACAAAAAATAATCTCCTAGAGTACTCCATAAGGGGCAAGTAAGTAAGCTTCTCAGAAGGCAACAAGGATATTTACTTGCTTTTGTAACTCATAATGGTAATTGTAAAATAGTCACTAGTGTTTTTGTCAACAAATTGTAACAAAACAACAGTTTTTCTGTTCAGGGTTAAAGGCATAAAACTTGTAAATTGTATTTTTTTTTAAAAAGACCCTGAATCACACATGCACATGCACTAGCACACACACTGAGTTGAGCAGTTGGCATGCCCAGATGGAGCCACCCACAGAGCACAGACCCAGGCTAGTATTTCATTCATTGATTTATATCCTGCTCTGCCAGTCTGGTAGTCTATACAGTAACTCTACAGTTATTTCTACTATAACTAAACCAATTGGCGATTTGTGTTGTTGTTGTTTTTTTACTCAGAGTGAGCTAAAAGAATGACTGACTGTAGGAAAAAAGAGAAGTAAAATGATTGAACAAAAATTGGTTTCGCTTTACAGTCAATATATAAACTATGAAAAGGGGTTAATTAAGGAAAGATGTCCCGATAGCAATCTTCAAAGTTTAAGAGGTCAAGGGCTTATAATAGTTTGCTCTAATAGGCTGATTACCCTCCTGCCCTCCGGCAGGCGCTTCAGAAGCCTCCGGACCAGAACCAACAGACTGAGAAACAGCTTTTTCCCCAGAGCTGTTTCTCTACTGAACTCTACCCC